AGATCCGCTGCAACAGAGGAGGTATTACCAGTCAGAATCATTATGTTAGATCTATAGCTGGCCTTTTTTTTCTAAAAAAAAAAAAAAAAAAAAACGAGGTCTGAATTAGTAACAATGCCCATTATAACTATCCCCAAAAGAGAAATTAAAGTGCAGTTGAACCTCCTTCAGTTTAGACGTAAGTGTTTGCTGAAAGCTCATAAAACAAATAGACTGGAGACTCTCCAGATAATATTTATTTGATAAGGCTTTCACCTGAGGGGGTGGCTACAACCCATATTAATTGAAAAACATTACTATTTATAAAAGACATGGTAATTTAACTCATTGCAATACAAAATGTATTGCTAAATTCAGATAAAATACAGAACCCTTGTGGTAAAAGTAAGTTTAAAAACAGTCTCCTTAAATTACAACTTGTGATTTTCTCCTCATTACAATCGAGACTCTGCTCAGTTTTGCTTTTCACAGGGTTTGGAGTTAATTGGCGGATTTTTATCAATAAAGGCATCTCACCAGACTGCAGTGTTTAAGTGAGCATCTGCCTCCACCTAGTGCAAAGACTGGTTACTGAGGGCAAAAGCTAATACGTATTGAATGAGGTTAAAATGCTATTGTAGTGGTATTATTATTAACTACACTTTTTTTTTTAATTCTATATGATACATTGGTCTTAAATACTATCAAACATACCTGTGCATGTTCATCTGTGCAACCATCCTAAGAGGAGAAACAATTAGTTTAGACACATTTATGAAACAGTTAACTACCAGATTAACTCCAACCTGTGTCACACTGGCAACAATACAGCGAGGTCTGATTTCTTCCTGCCCCAGTCTCAACACTATGTACTCAAGAGATAGCTGGCCCTCGAAGTTAGAAATTTTACACATTGTGTTTTTGCAATAAAGTAAAAGTCCTGTATCTTACTTTCAGCAAGCAAAATAAGTAGACTACTTGTTATGCAGAATTAAGCTTTCTGAATGTAATATCATTACATATTTATATTATTGCATTATGATTACTGATTTATTAAATCGAAGCAGTATGTTAATACGTGGAAGCATAAGGTGGAGTTCATTTCACTACTTTTACTGTGCTCCTACCTGTTGTTGTTTCAATCAGTGACAATGCATCACACCTTTATACAACCTGAGCATCATGTTTTGTAATCTTATGAACCACAGCTGAACCAAGATAAAAATGGTACAAAACTTCCCCCTTCTGAAATAAAGTGAAGTGTAAAACAAGCACTAAAATGGAATTACTTGAGTGAATCTAGTTGGTAGCAAACTTTTTTTTTTTTTTTTACAGATGAAGATGGACATTTTTATTCTATCTAATGAAAAGCACCTGCTGTCCCCAACAGAAGTTTAAAAGCAATGTAAATGTTTTGAATACCATGAGCCGGGTCCAACTTTTTTAAAATCGTTATTATTCAAGCAGAGGGCAAGTGAAACCTTGCTGAGGCAGGACACCTCAAACAGTTCACGGAAGGACAGGGGTGCCAGGTTTGCTGATTTCCATAAAGGAAATCAGGAACGATTTACTCATGTTATCCATTAACCTAATTATTAATCTCTCCTGTCTTAACTCCACAGTCAACGTGACATGTTTTACATACAGTTTGACTACAGTTTGGAGGGCAATGCTACTTATCCAGTTAATTTTGATCGTTTAATACCAATGAAAAAAGAAGATATTTTTAGAATATAACCTAGTAGAGAACATTTTGCATCGCAAGATTTAAACAGTAGAAAATTACTTATCCACTAACTAACTCGTTCAGATGGTTGAAACAAAAATATACCAAAAATATTACTGTATTGAGTAAGTATTGTGTGCTTTAATGCTCGAGAGATGAAGATAGAAACGTTTTAGATACGAACCTGCAGGAAACACAACTGGCCAACTTCAATGGGAACGCTCGCCACCCGGCGCTAACTGACGAAGTAACACCAAAGTGCTTTCCCCGTTAGTTAACGTTAGCGCTATGCTTACCAAAACAACCGTTACACTACTTAAAATTGACACCGGCTAGTTAAATCAGCGATTCTGACTTTACACATTATGCGCGCATCCCATGGGGAACAGCTGTCCCACAGGTTGTTGTCGCAGTTGGCGTGGGCAATTTTTTTGTGTGCATTAAGGCCCGGGCCGGGAAAGGGGGACCAACGTTAGCGTTGCCGTTTGCTGGTTGCTAAGCATCGAAACCGGTAGCCCTCCACATACGCTATGCGTGACTAAACGTCCGTTCCACTTCGGCAGGAGAGCGTTCTGACCTGGGAGGAAGGAAGGGAGGAAAGGAAGGAAGGAAGGGAGGGAGGGGAGGGAGAATCTGATAATAGGACCACTGCGCACCGCTGCTTATGCAAAGCTACCAATCACTTTTTTTTTTTTTCCTTTTCGATCAGTCATGCTGGGTGGATTATTCCAGGGTGTTTACTGACTTTAATTTACTCCTCTTGTTGTGTGTGTGTGTGTGTGTTCTTTTACTCCTCATTGGCTTTTGTCTTGCCTCTCGCCTCCAGATTCCTCCCTCCCTCCCTCCCTTCCTTCCTTCCTTCCTCCCTTCCTTCCTCCCAGTCAGAACGCTCTCCTGCGAATGGAACGGACGTTTAGTCACGCTAGCGTATGTGAGGCTACCGTTCGATAGCTTAGCAACCAGCAAACGGCAAGCTAACGTTGTCCCCTTCCCGGCCCGGGCCTTAATGCACACAAAAAAATGCCACGCCAACTGCGAAACAACCGTGGGACAGCTGTTCCATGGATGCGCGCATATGTGTAAAGTCAGAATCCGCTGATTTAACTAGCCGGGTGTCAATTTTAAGTAGTGTAACGGTTGTTTGGTAGCTAGCTAACGTTAACTAACGGGAAGCACTTGTTGTTACTTCGTCAGTTAGCGGCCGTGGCGAGCGTTCCATGAAGTTGCCAGTTGTGTTTCCTGCAGGTTCGTATCTAAACGTTCTATCTTCATCTCTCGAGCATAAAGCACACATACTTACTACAATAAGTAATATTTTGGTATATTTTTGTTTCACCATCTGAACGATAGTTAGTGATAAGTAATTTTCACTGTTTAAATCTTGCGATGCAAAATGTTCTTACTAGGTTATATTCTAAAAATATCTTCTTTTTTTCATTGTTTAAACGATCAAAATTAACTGGATAACGTGCATTGCCCTCCAACTGTAGTCAAACTGTATGTAAAACATGTCACTTGACTGGAGTTAGAGACAGAGAGATAATAATTAGGTTAATGGATAACATGAGTCAAATCGTCCTGACTTTCCTTTATGGAAAATCAGCAAACCTGGCACCCCTGTCCTCCGTGAACTGTTGAGGTGTCCCTGCCTCAGCAAGGTTTCACTGCCCTCTGCTGAATAATAACGATTTAAAAAAGTTGACCCGCTCTGTATTCAAAACATTTACATGTTTTAAACTTCTGTTGGGACAGCAGTGCTTTTCATTAGATAGAAATAAAATGTCCATCTTCAATCTGTAAAAAAAAAAAAAAAGTTTGCTCCAACTAGATTCACTCAAGTAATTCCATTTTTAGGTGCTGTTTTACACTTCACTTTATTTCAGAGGGAAGTTTTGTACATTTTACTGTGTTCAGCTGTGTTCATAAGATTACAAAACATATGCTCAGTTTATAAAGTGTGATGCATTGTCACTGATTGAACAACCCAACAGTAGGAGCACATAAAGTAGTGGAAATGAACTCCACCTTAGCTCCACGTATTAACATACTGCTTCGATTTAATAAATCAGTAATCATAATGCAATAATATAAATATGTAATGATATTACATTCAGAAAGGCTTCATTCTGCATAACAAGTAGTCTACTTTTTTTGTTGCTGAAGTAAGATACAGGACTTTTACTTTATGCAAAAACACAAATGTGTAAATTCTAACTTGAGGCCAGTATCTCTGATACATAGTGTGAGACTGGGGCCAGAAGAAATGTCAGACCCTCGCTGTATTGTTGCAGTGTACACAGGTTGGAGTTAATCTGTAGTTAACTGTTTCATAAATGTGTCTAACTAATTGTTTTCCTCTTAGATGGTTGCACAGATGAACATGCACAGGTATGTTGATAGTATTTAAGACCACATTATCATATAGAATTAAAAAAAAAAGTGTAGTTAATAATAATACCACTACAATAGCATTTTAACCTCACTTCAATACGTATTAGCTTTGCCCTCAGTAACCAGTCTTTGCCACTAGGTGGAGGCAGATGCTCACTTAAACACTGCAGTCTGGGAGATGCCTTTATTGATAAAAATCCGCCATAACTCAAACCCTTGTGAAAAGCAAACTGGAGCAGAGTCTCGGATGTAATGAGGAGAAATCACAAGTTGTAATTATAAGAGACTGTTTTTAACTTACTTTTACACAAGGTTCTGTATTTATCTGAATTTAGCAATTACATTTTGTATTGCAATTGAGTTAAATTACATGTCTTTATAAATAGTAATGTTTTCAAATTAATATTGGTGTAGCCACCCCTCAGGTGAAGCCTTATCAATAAATATTTCTGGAGAGTCTCCAGTCTATTTGGTTTTATGAGCTTTCAGCAACACTTACGTCTAAACTGAAGAGTGTCAACTGCAACTTTAATTTCTCTTTTGGGGATAGTTATAATGGGCATTTTACTATCAGACCTCGTTTTTTTTTTTTTTTTTTAAGAAAAAAAAAGGCAGCTATAGATCTAACATAATGATCTGACTGGTTAATACCTCCTCTGTGTGCAGCGGATCATTCAGTGTAATTTCTAATTAACACGTTGCTATTTACTCTGTTGGATCATTAGGCCTCATCACAAAAGGATAATCCAGTCAAATTAAGAGTTTATGTTTCCCTTCCACCTTCCACCATGGTGCTGTTTGCTAATGGGTCATGTTGCAATTATCTAACAAATTAAGACAAATGTTGCCTGTTTAGTCAAGATAAATCTATTG